AATGGGCAGATCTGAATAGACATTTTTTCCAAAGAAAACATACAGGTACATGAAAAGATGCTCAACAACACTAATCATCAGAGAAATACAAGTCAAACCCACAAGAGATATCACCTCACACCTGTTAGAACGACTATTGTCCAAAAGACAGGAAATAAGACAAGAAATAAGAAATAAGGATGTGGAAAAAAGGGAATCCTTGTGCACTGTTGGTGGGAATGTAAATTGGTGCAGCCACTATGGAAAACAGTATGGAGGTTCCTCAAAAAATTAAAAATAGAACTACCATATGATCCAGAAATTCCACTTTTGGCTATTTATCTGAAAAAATGAAAACTAACTCAAAAATATATCTGCACTCCCCCATGTTCATTGCAGCATTATTTACAATAGCCAAGATATGGAAACAACCTAAGTGTCTATTAGTAGATGAATGGATAAAGAAAATGTGATTTATATACAAATGGAATATTATTCAGCCATAAAAAGAATGAAATCTTGCTATTTGTGACAACACGGGTGGACCTTAAGGACATTATGTTAAGTGAAATAAATCGGACGGAGAAAGACAAATGCCATACAATCTCACTTATATGTGGAATCTAATAAAAACAAAAACAAACCAACATCACAGATAGAGAGAACCAACTGGTGGTTGCCAGAGATGAGGGGGGATAATAAAAGAAATGATGAAAGCGGTCAAAAGGTATAAATTTCCACTTATAAAATAAATGTCATGGGGATGTAACGTACAACATGCTGACTATAGTTAATAATGCTGTATTGCATATTTGAAAGTTGCTAAGAGTGTAGATCTTAAAATCCTCATCACAACAAAAAAACATATTTTGTAACTATGTAGGGTGATGGATGTTAACCAGACTTATTGTGGTGACCATTTAACAATGTATACAAACAGTGAATCACTATGTTGTACACTTAAAACTAATATAATGTTACATGTCAATTATACCTCAATTTTTTAAAACAGAAGATAAAGGTGAGAAACAGTTTAGAGAAAAAAAAAATTGCCAGGACCTGATCAATTGGACATGAGAAATAAGAAGAAATAATCAAAGGACTCATATTTCTAGCTTAGGCAACTTGTTGCATATAATTCAATTAACCATTATAGGAAACCCAAGAAAAGCAACTTTAAGGAAAAGCAAACTACAACAGGCTCACCACTGAAAATACTGACTCTGTAGTTGGAAATTTAGATTGGGAGAAAGAGTCACAAAAAAAGTGTATACAGCTTAATTTGATTATTTTATTAATTTAGCAAATTATTTGAGGATCCACTATGTTGCCAGGAATGTAGACCAAAAAAATATAAAAATGGATAAGAAATGGTTGCTGCGCTTGAGGGTCTCAATCCAGTATGAGAAATGGAATCTATCTGTAGGCAAAGGGTAGAGACTGGTAAAGCAAGTTCTCAGAGGATGATGGGTTCATTCTTTTTTTTTTTTCTCCCCAAATCCCCCCAGTATATAGTTGTATATTTTTTTTAGTTGTGGATCCTTCTAGTTGTGGCATGTGGGACACCACCTCAACATGGCCTAATGAGTGGTGCCACATCCACGCCCAGGATCCGAACCCTGAGCCGCCAAAAGGGAGCACGTGAACTTCACCACTCAGCCACAGGGCCGGCCCCTGATGGGTTCATTCTCAACCATGGCCACATGTTAGAATCATCTGGGGTAACTTCTAAACATCCCAATGCCCAGTCCACACTCTGGGGGTGAGGTCTAGGCACCAGTGGTTGCTTAAACTCTCCAGGTGATGCCAATGTGCAGCCAAGATTAAGAAAGCAGGAGCTCAACTCAGAAAAGAACACCTGGGACATCTCTTCCTTTAAAACACTTGGCAATAATGGGGGGACGAGTGTGGATAAAGATAAGAGGTAGAAATAAGGGAACTTCGTTGAAGGTGTTCCTGCTTGATGATTTACAGATTATCTGTAAAGAAAAAGTATCAAACGCTAAGAATAAGGGTGTATGAGAATAAGTAGGCATCTTAAGGTTAGTAGCAAATTTTTGCAGAAGGTTCTGGAGAGAGTGTGCAAAAGAGTTGATTAGGAAGAAGTAAAAGTATTTCTAGGCAGTTATAAAGGTCTAATGGAAGTAGGCAATCATGCATTGATAGAAGCATCCATTTACAAGGTTGTTCAATTTTCCCTAACAATGCTTGGCAGTTTGAGAGCATGAACAGAGAAAACATTCACCCGAGAATGTAGATTGATGGGTCAGAAGGATGGAGGGAACTGAGAGTGCTGGTGAGAGTTAAAAATAGAATAAGAGTGAGGCGTGGGATTGCAGGCGTTGATGATGATTACACACTAAATGCATAAAGGAGTCAGAGAGATCAAAGGAGAGAGAATTTTGGTCAAAATGAGATTTCCAAATTTAAGATTTCAAGATAGCAGAATATACGGTGAGTTATGGCAAAAGACTCCTAACTGGTCTTCCTAATCTGTCTTTGCCCTTCTCCAATCCATTATCCACACTGCCCAAAACGCAATCTTTCTAAATTAAAAAGTCTGATCATCTCTCCCCACCCTCAAACCTCAATCGGCCAGATGAATTCAATCAAAAGCCAGCTCAAGAAGTCCTAATTATCACCTCCCCTATCCTGATAGTTAATACCCCATTCCTCTACACTCTCTCACTCTCGCCCAACCTTACACAAACTTTTCTACTTATAGTTATACTAGACAGCATTTACAAGTCTGTTTCCTCCACTAGATTCTGAGTTCCTTGAAGGCTGGAACCAAGTTCTAATCATCTTTTAACCCATATTTAAACAGTCTTCCTGAAAATTCAACAAGTAAATGTATCAGCTCTGGCATTTCTTGCTTGCTTATGCTTGTATTATTACCTTTAATAATGGTTTCTTTGGAGAAAACTCTTTAGGCTACTTGTCCACTTTTGTGAAGGCGTATTTAGTTAAAACTAGACAGATAATATAACCTACAAATACACTCAACCAGTCACACTGTATTATGCGACCATATGCTGAAGCAAATAATCAAAGGAAAGTACTAATTTCAACTCTTCCAAGTGGTGCAATTCCCATTCTTCCCCTAGGACACTTCATTTACTGTCTGTGACATATGTCTATCTGATAAATGCAAAGTGAGGACATCAGTGTCCATTTTTTTTAATTAACGAAACAAAATTTCTTTTATATTTATTAGATAAAAATTAATACAAACCAAACTTCTAATATTTCTTTCTGCACCCCAGTGGATCATCTTGCACACGCCATGATGTATATATAGCTCCATTTTAGACATCGTTGGTCTAGATATGAGGTTACGACCACCTTGTCAGTCACTACCAAAAAAAAATTAATTAAAATACATATCACACTACCTAAAATGCCATTTTTATAAAGGTTTTTTTTAAGCTAAAAACTTTTCAGAGGACTTCAGATATTCAGCACTTTGTATGAGCTTAAAAAGATTACTTTCCCAATACCTTGTACTATTGGAATAAGAAGGTAGTATAGGGGACAGAAAAAGAAAGCATTAAAAGGTAATTTGAAACCTTACAGAAATACTGAGCCTTCAAATCAGAATTCAGGTGACTAGGTGCAGGCTGTAAGTGAACATTTCATAGTTCTCTGGATTCCTCCTTAGCATTTCATCACACTTTACTTATTCAATTTCTGTCTTACAAACCAGTTACGAGCTCCCATGTGAGGCTGTCTGTCTTGTTGCCTGCTGTATTCCTAGCCACAAGAACAATGTACAGTGTGCCACATGTGGATGCTCACTGTAGAGGTACACTGTATATGCTCAAAAAATATTTACTAAACAAACGAATTAAAGAATGAAGTGGTTTAACTGAAGTCGTGATTAAGAAACTAACCAAAGAAAAGAGAACAAAAAAAGTGCTAAACATTGAGCTTTGAGGATTACCTATAGCAAAGCCATCAGAAGTGCCAGCAAAATAGAATGGGAAAGTCAAGGAGGCAGCAGGAAAACCAGGAAACAATAAGGCCCTGGAAAGGGGTGTGCTGTTGGGAAGGGGCTGAGTAGAGTTGCTGTGGAAGTCTGAGAAAAGGCCATTCGATTTACCAAGAAGATAATCGGCAACCTCAAAAATGCTATTTAAGCATAGTTACAGAAGTGAAAGTCAACTGCATGGAAGCAGGCAGAAAACCAGTGCTAAAGAAATAGAGGCAATACACTAGTCTTACGAATTCAGCAGTGAAACAAGAAAAACAGTTTTACAGCTATAGAGGCTCAACAGGAAGAAGAGAAGTTTTTTCAAATCAGGAAGATCTACACGTTTGAGGAAGAGGATCCAGAGTTTTTTCTTCTAACGGTGGACACAGTGTTGTGATCCTTCTGCAGAAATGGACATAAATTATGGCAAGTATACTTATTTGCTTTTCCACATAAAAATCTAAAAAGGACAATAAATGAAAAACAAGATTACTGATTATCTATTTCCTTTTCCATATTTCTGGGGAAAATAGGTTGAGATGAAAGATACATGGACTATTTTTGGTCTGGCAGACTCATTCTACTGGAGTTACCTTTGAAAGAAGTGGTTATTTCTGTCACCACCACAAAGAATAAAAGAACACAAATATTTACGTTATCTGCTGTTACTTATAATGCTTTTATTAACTAATTTTTCAGCCTTTAACAACTGCCACTGCTTTTGTGACTGCTGTTTCAGTAAAACACGGAAGCCTGAATGTGAGCTCATTTCATTGCCTGCTGGGCCTGCATTTTCCCAGCCCTAATGTAACAAAAGGGCACGGCGACACAAAAAAATACATAGGGCGTTTTCTTATTCTTGAAATAGTAATGTCTTTCCATCCGTGTTTGCACCTGTTTTAACTTAGTTCAAGCACAGTGTGTCATGAGACTGCTAAGAAGTTACTAGGAATTACCGTATAGGTTTTTGAACAGATTTCACATCATACAATCATTTGTCCTTAAAATTCGCCACGCTGAATCTTAAGGGTTATTCTGTCTCACTCACCATCTTAAACTTCTTTGTGTCCTCCATCGGGCACTTTGTGTCCCCGGCACCATGCTTTGCACCCAATAAGCACCTAGTGTTGATCCTGTAATCCAGTGTGTGCATGCTGCCAATCACAAAGTCCTTGCGGCAGCAAATAGTTAACAGAGCTTTTGGTGGGGGTGGCTAAGTCCCCAAGAGTTGTCAAGTAATCGAACTGAGAGCTTCTTGAGGGCAGGGACAGGGTCTTGTTCAGCATGTTATCTCCAGCGCCTAATTCAGTCCTCGTACACAGTCGATACTCAGAAACGCTGAATGAATGAACAACAGACTCGGTGGGGACATTAGATTCAACTCTATTCTGCAAATTTACGCCGAGCGCCATGCAGGCTTCAGGGACCACCCCGGCGCGGGTGCTACAAGATGCCTGGGAGCTGCTGGTTCTAATTTCACAGATGTTGTAATTCTATGCTATAACTTCCATATTTTCTCTTAAAGCACAAAGGACATTTGAGTTGTCTCTGCTCTTGGTTTTCAGGGGCTTAACGGCAAACATGCCGCGTCCCCGCGGCGGGCAGCTCTCCGCGAACGCGACCCTCCCTCGGGTGGGGTAGGCCGAGCTCCCGGCGCCCCCCGCGGCTGAGCCGCCCCGATCCTGAAGGGGTCGCTGTTCCCGCGATAACCTCTTTAAAGTTCCGCCCCGCGGCCGGCGCTCGCTTCCTCCGTTGGGGACCCAGCCCCAGACGGCCTGAACGCCCGGCCGTTTGCGTCGTGCTCGCCCACCGCGGCCAGAGCCGCCGTTAGCGGCCGCAGTCCCAGCGGACAGGCGCTGCTCTCGGCCTCCGCCGCCGCCTGGGCACGCGGCCCGCTCCGAGTCGCTCGTTCTCGCCCCACCCTCTCTCTCCCCCTTCACGGAAACGACAGCTGCGGCGGCGGGGCTGGCGCCGCCTCCCTCCACCTACCACGTCTGCCCCCGCCACTGTCGCCCGGCGCCCCAGCCCGGCCGCGGCGCCCCTGCATCCCCGCTAGGTCAGCCGGCAGCTCGGCCCGGCTGCAGCCCAGGATGAACATCATGGACTTCAACGTGAAGAAGCTGGCGGCCGACGCGGGCACCTTCCTCAGTCGTGCGGTGCAGGTACCGCGGTGGGGGAAGGGGTGGCGGCGCCGGGCAGGACCAGGGAGGGGCCGCCGCAGCGCCCGGCCTGAGGCGGCTGAGCCCTCCGCACCTGGCCTCGCCTGCCGCTCGGCGGGCCTGTGGCGGCCGGCGGCCCTGGTGATGGGCGCGGCCTGGTGCTCCTCTGCACCCGGCGGCCGTTTTCCTGCCCAGCCGCCACTCCACGGGAAGCGAGGCGGGATAGGGACGGGGCCCGGAGCCTACTCCCGCCCCTGGAGGACACCTTGAGTTCGGCCTCCGGTTTCTGACCTCACGGCGCCGGTGCTTGGGTGACCTCCACCCACCCCTACCCCGGCGGGCGGAGGCCTTGCGAGTCCCGCGCGGAGACAGACCATTCTTGCACCGCCCCCACCCTTGCCTTTCGTTTCTCTCACCCTCCTCGCCAAGTCCAAGAAGGAAGTTTCCTTTTCCTGCCCCTCAACCCAGAGAGCTGCCAACTCAGTTCCCTCCAGCCCTCCCTCTCCCTGAAAGGACCGTCCCTGGGCTTGGCAGTCCGTGGGAGAAATGGAGATCGCCAGTTGGCGTCCAAACTTTGCCAAGGCCATGAGAAACCTAGAGTTTGGGGGTTCCCACCCATTCTCAGAATGGGAAGCGCCGGCAGTAGGGTGAATCTTTCCTGGTTCATGCGTGCCTATAGTCGGTGGTATGTTTCAAATACACTTTAAGGGGAGAAGTTAGCTATCTCGTAGTATTCCGCAGTCAGGGAAGCGTCAGTACGAGGCAACTGGGACGGTTTCCTACAGTCATCACCCACATTATGCCAGCTCAGTTAAATCTATGAACAGATGTAAATTTTGCCACAACATGGGTTATAAACAATCTGGTGTCTGAGTTAATGACATAGTCACGGTAGCAACAACATTCTCTTATGTAAAGTGAAAACAAAAATAGTTTTCCAGTATGCATACCAAATTGATACAGAAATGTAAATCAGTTGTTTTGCTTTACTACTTTCCTTGTCTCTTTCACCCCAATTTCATTGGCATAGTGCATCTTACATTGCACTATTCTTGGGAAAAGTGTGGTAGAACTAGAGCAAGGTAATAGCTGCCCATTGTGAAAAAACTGTGTCAAACATTTTGCTAGGCATTTGACAGATTATCTCCAGTCCTTTCTGTAGCTTTGCCAGATCAATGTTATTAACCCCTTTGATGTATAAGGAAGCAGCCTCAGAGAGGTAAAGTAACTTGCTTAACTTGCAGTCTAGTAAATAGCCAACTGCTGTTTGACCTACTACTGCAAGTTGCTTTTCTCTTCCTGGATAAGCATTGCGGGTTTAGGACACACTGTAGAATAATAGAATGTTACAGCCTGGAGAGACCTTCTAGTACAATGTGAGCATTTCAGTAACACTTAAGCAAATAATACTTAAGAGATGGGAAATTCCTTCTAGGTTTTGATTTCCAAATTACAAAATCTACATGATGAGTAATAAGCTAGCTGCCTTAACCCTCTTCTCCCCCTCCTCCACTAAAATATAGGGTATATTGTAAAGACATTAAACTGTATAGTTAAAATAATTTCTTGATTTAAATTTAGCCTATTTCTAATACTTCAAAGACAAGGTGCAAGAAGAATGAGTGATTGAGGGTCTGAAATAAATTATGATTTGTGAGACTTAATGTTGACTGCAAAGGAGGCAGAACCTTTGGTATTATTTTTTTTAGGACTGATTTCCTGTGATTCTAAATGCTGAATGCAGATTTGACACTATATAATGCCACTCTTTTAAATACGGTTAGATTTGTTTTCAGGTGCATAATCCACAGTGCTTACTTAGGACACGTGTACTAGAATTTGATTTAAATTGTCTACAGACTGGATTTAAAAAATAAATGTGGCAAAACTCTCAAAAGATGTACAGGTACTTCCCAAATGAATTTTAATTACTAATTGTTTCAGATTCTTTAGGAAAATGTTCTTAAGTTCTGTCCTAATCTGTTATCTATCAAATAATTTTCAGTCTTTAATACTTAAATGCCTGCTCCATGTCTGCCTGTCACTACTACAGGCATCCCTCATTATAAGCAGGGTGTTGGTTCCAGACTCTTCGGTGGATGTGGATACCAAAATCTGCAGATAAAATGGCATAATATTTGCATATAACCTACACACATCTTCCCATATACTTTAAATCATCTCTAGATTATTTGTAATACCTAGTGAGATGTAAATGCTGTGGAAATAGTTATCATACTTGTATTGTTCAGGGAATAATGACAAGAAAAAAAGTCTGTACATGTTCGGTACAGATGAAACCATCATAGACTTTTTGATCTGCACTTGGTTGAGTGTACAGATTCAGAACCTGCGGATATGGACGGCCCACTGTATTTTGGATACTGGTGATAGAGCAACGAATAAAATCAAGAAAACCAGTGAATTAAATCAACTCCAAAATGTCTGCCCACCCAGACCTTACAGTCTAGCAAGAGACGACGAACTAGTAAATACATCAGATGGTGATGGAGAAAAAGACCATAGGGGATAGCTTAATGGCAGAGGTGGCAGGTGTTGCCATGTTGTCTAGATATGATGGTCAGGGCCAGCCTTTCTAATAGGATCAGATTTGAAGAGACCTCAAGGAAGTGACCGATTCCCAGTTTTTTGAAGGAAAAGCATTTCAGGCAGAGGGAACAAGTGCAAAGACTGTGGTTGCAGGGGTACTAGGGAGACCAGTTAGGGAGCTGTGGCCATAGGACAGGCAAAAGGTGATGTGACTGAGATAAGAATTACAGCAGGGGACGTTCAAAACCTGTCCAGTATTGCTTGTCAGATTGTCTGGGGTTCAAGAGAAAGGTGAGTCAAGGATGACTCTGAGGTTTTGCCTTGAGTCATTTACTAAGTGAAAAATTTCAGGAGGAATAGGCTCCTTTAATGTGTCTTTTTATATTGTCTGTTAGAGATATGTTCTGAAATACTTATATATAAACTGTATCATATCTGAGAATTGCTTAAAATATTTCAGAAGAAAAAAGGGATAGTTGAAACAACGTTGGCAGAATGTTGATAGTTATTGAACCTGGGTTATGGGTTCATGAGATTTCATTATACTATTATGGTTTTGTGTTTGTCATTGCCACAATACTTTTTTTAAAATAAAATATGTGAGAAAGGAAAGATGGTTCCAAAATGTAACATATGAAATTTGGAATACATTATGGTAATTTTCAACAAAACACTACATCCTCATGTCAGTAACTGAGTTCCAACTCTAAATTGAGTTGACATCCGTATAGTGCCAAGTGTCGTCCTAAGAAGAGCATTAAGACCTATGCCAGTTATTCATTATAAGCAATAAGAACAGTAGGAATGGAGTTCATCTTCCACATTTCTAAATAATTTCTATTCAAATTATACCTTAAGGAAGGCCCTTCTCTGGCTGGCCAACTGCCATACATTTTTTCCATTTTACTTAAAAATTTTTAAGTTAGTGGCTGGCCCCTTAGCCAAGTGATTAAGTTCGTGCGCTCAGCTTTGGCGGCCCAGGGTTTGGCCAATTTGGATCCTGGGCGCAGACATAGCACCCCTCATCAGGCCATGCTGATGTGATGTCCCACATAGCACAACCAGAAGGACCTACAACTAGAATACAACTAGGTACTGGGGGGCTTTGAAGAGAAGAAGAAGAAGAAGAAAAAAAAAAAGATTGGCAACAGATGTTAGCTCAGGTGCCAATCTTTAAAAAAAAAAAATTTTAAGTTAAAAATTAAACATATTCTCTGTTTTAAAAAGTAAAATCAAACTATTAAAGCATATAAATGAGTCTCATCACTCCACTTTCACCCTTCAAAAATTTGTTTATATACCTTGGTACTTAAAAAGAATGTTAAGGTGAAATGTATAAGTGAAAATGAATATTCCTTTTCACATTCATTCATTAACAGTCCATTTGGGTGCTTTGTTCTTAATCCCTCAAAACAGAATACAGAAGCATCAGGTAATTTATCCTTGATAAATCGTTACTTTATTAGCGTCTTAAAAAGACATTTATTAGTTCTTAGAATCTGTCTTTTCCATCTAAACTCCTTAGTAGAAGTACTCCCTTCTGGGCTTGTCTTTTCTCTCATTCATATATAAACTCTGTATTCTTACCAAATTATTTTTTTAATTTCCGAAGTACCTTGTACTTTTCTAACTCTAGGCTTTTCTTCATACAGTTAAACTCATCTTGAATGCCCTCCACCCCATCTTGGTATAGTCTTTCCTTGCCTCAAGATACAACTTCAAGTCCCATCTCAGAACACAGGAGCTTGATATGAAATCCTGTGTCATTTTTCAGTTCTGTATGATCATGTGGCATTTTTCTTCTAATGAACTGTTATGTAAGGTCCCTTGGAGCTCTAAAATTCTTGTTACTCCATAGCTTTCACATCTTCAATAAGATTGTCTGTCCTAAGGAATCAGCTCTGTTTCTTTTTTATTCTTCTCTCACAACGTCCAACTTGGTTCTTTTTAATTTTTTATATCATTTTAGGAAAGTAAGGTAGTATACATATGGAAAGTTTGCTCTTTGAATCATTTAGCCTATTGAATAATTTTGTTTTTATTAATACTTTTCTAGCATTGTATCTGCTGACCTTGAAGTTGATTAATGCCAGTCTAAAATATTAAACTATTTAGTTCAACCTATATTTATTGAGTAGCTCCTAGGTCTTTACATTGAAGGATACCGAGATGAATGAGACCCAGTTGCTACCCTCAAGGACTTCATAGTCTAGTTGCAATTTGTCATAATTTAGATATTTTATTCTTTGTGGTAAATACCCATTTTGTGAATTACTGTTCTCTTACTTTACTTGATAAATCTTTCAAGTGAGCACATTTTTAATTCAGAATTGATATT